ACAGCCTCCTTTATCTTGCTTGATTCATCTTCAGACGGGTAAAGTGATGTGATATATTCAATAGAACCCAGTGAGGCTTTCATTGGCTTACTGCCTACAAGTCCTGCCTAAAACATAAAATCAAAGGAGCTATAACTCAAATGCCTTCCTGTAGATAAAAAGGATCTTGCGAACCCAAATTAAGCAAAAAAGTATTGATGTGTTAGGGTGTAAATAAAGGCACTCAATTGAGAGAAAAGAAAACACATTAGTTTGGGATATTTTTGGCTTTAATGGGGGTGCCAGAATATATTGGTTGAGTTTTCCTTCGGGACTCTTGGAGAGTTTTCTTTGGAAACTCTTGATCCATCTTTCCTTTCAGTTATTAATTTAGTATAAACAACAACAACAACCCAGTTAAATCCCACAAAAGTAGGGTCTGGGGAGGGTGTGTGTACGCAGACCTTGCCCCTACTCGAAAGTAGAGAGGCTGTTTCCAAAGAGACCCCCGCTCAACGTCGAAAGTTGCATTGCTTAACTAACTGCTACTTCATTAATTAAAGAAGCACAGACAGTTTAGAGATCTATTTTGATTTATTCCATCACATCCCAAAGCCAAAAATGGTGAAATTTTGGCTCCATCCGAGATGATGGAAATAACTTAGTATATTGCATTTAAATATTTGAGCCTCTTTATTCTATCAAAACCAAAATGCATTTATGATCCATGCACAAAGATATGCTCCATTTGTTGTGAGAACTGTAGTTCAAGGTTTTTAAACATAAATAATACTCCTGCCATCTTTGACAAACCTTACAGTTTGAGTTCAAGGTTTTTAAACATAAATAATACTCCTGCCATCTTTGAAAGAACCTTACAGCTTGACTTCAGAGTTTCAAGAGAAGTTTTGAAAAGTGAAACGTGTTTGGTACAAAGTCAAGAGTGTGTGGTTGAAATGCATTTGGAAGAGAAAAAATTAAACATGTCCACATATTTATTTCCTAGACCTAGAAGGGGAAGTGGAAAAGTGTAAAGTTGATTTTTAGACGTCCAAATAAGGGATACGAAAAGTTCATTCAAAGACGGGAGTATATTTTTCTAAAATCAAGAAAAGAATACTATACTAGAACTAGGTTACCCGTCATTGATCCATTAAAGATAGACAAAGTACCACGAAGCATTTCTAGTTCAAGGAAAAAAGCGGAGAACTCACAATTAAATGATCTCTTGAAATTCAGAAGAGGCAATTCCGCAATTATTTGAGAACACTTTTTTCTTTAAAATGACATTGTTTAGGGGCGAAGGAATTGGTGACTTGTTTTTTCAAGAATAAGGTGTTATGATGCAAGATAAAGAAAACCAAACAAATATGTTGGAGATGCCGGAAAACAAAGGAAAGTCAATAGTGGCATTAGGAAGTGGTCAGGCTCGCTAGATGTTGGAATTTAAGAACCCTCATTTTCTTGAATCAGTCTAAGCCTCGCCCTCCAACATGTGATTCCCTGGATTTACAGAAGTTGCTTAATCATTTGCTCTAAATTTGCCATTGTTGCTGCCTATGACTACTGGGCAATAGTGGAAGTCAGGTTCTCTATTGTATCTGCCTGGGGTTCAAGTGTTCTGATTGACTTTCACACAGCTTCAAAGGCATGCTCGGCAGTGATATTGTTTCCCATAAAGGCGACGCAACACAACCAAGTTGTTATGTTTGTTAGTTGCACTTTTCGAGGAAAAGTAAGAACTCTTCCCTATGGTGTCGCAGAAAAAGATCAACCTGAGAGAACACATTAAAGGTAGAGCCAGGAGAGAAGAAAGAAGACTTTATTTTTTATTCTAATATGTAATATCCATAAACCTATGTTGCCGTCTTTTTATAAAGGACTACAATCCGGAATTGATAAGAAAACAAGGATAGTTGCCAAATAATAGAAGCCCAAGTAATACCTAGTTGCTTAATTATAGTCACAATCTTTCAGAAACAGTCTCAGAGTCTCTCTACCTTTTCAAGGGGTAATGTCTGCACACGCACACCCACCAAGACCCCAGTCTTGTTACTTTAGTGGGTTTGCTGTTGGGGATGTTGTTGAATTAAAGTCTGACGAGTAATGAGAAATAAATACATAAATGCCAACAAAATAAAGTAAATAAGCCCATTAAACTATTCCATCACAGATGTCAAGACTCGTAATCTGCCGGCACCAAAGGCAGTACAACTGCCTTCCAATATAGAGAGAACAAATGTAAGGGAACAAAATTGTAGTAGGGATCTAGGAATACAATTTATGGAACCACAACAACAGATAGAAGCCAAGAAAGAAGAGAAAACTTCAAGCTTCTAGACATGGTTATGACTTGCCTTCTAGGAATAATATTGTTTTGACCCAATTATTGACATTTTCCTTCACACTATCTAGCTCATACAAGCAATTTTATTTACCATAATTGTAGTTGCTTAGGTATGGCAAGTAAAAATTAAAATAAAGTGCTAAATAGAACACTATAAGCTAAATACCTCTGCGCTAGCCGCTAGACAATGTTGCAAAGACACCTCTACCAGGCAGGTTTTCAAAACTTTCAACAGAAATTGAAGGAAGATCTTTGCCTGAGCTATGGTCCAAAAAAGCTCTGCATCAACGAAGAACTAGATAGGTGACGGAAAACAGAACATATTTGAAGCATCCCATTGGTGCAACTTTCTACTTCCTAAATTTTATATTGTCTACACGTCATGAAATCAAATCTTATATTAATGCCCAGTACCCCAACTCTCCAAGCATATTCAGAAATCATAGAATGTCATATTCTCTTCATATAGTCTTTGTTCGCTTGTTTATGTGAATTTTGAATGAATAAATGACAAATAGACAGTTAAAAAAGAATTATGAAAAGGGTTACAAATTCTGATTTTATCATAAACATGCGAGGTTCTAAATGAAGCATCTAACAATATCAACACTAGAAATATACAAGCTCATAAAGATCATAAATTTTGAAAGAAAAATGTTAATAAAAAGTGAAAATAGATTATGATAAAGTAAAACATGATCCTAGACTAATTTAATGTAGCAACTAATGAGCTGGCTCCTACTCAAATACACATTGTTTACAAAGGTATAAGAAACTAAAGAGTTTTCCATCCATTTTAAACAATAGTGGCATTGGTTGAGTCTCTATCAAGCAATGTGTGTATGTGTGTGTGAATGTTAACGAGAAGTAATTATAGCAGAAAAGGACAACATACATGAAAGCCATTTAATGAACAACCTTCCAATTGGGTGAGTAGTGCCCTTCTCCATCGCAGCTGCAACAGCAAGGGCTTCTGTTTCACAAGTGGGTTTACAGCAAGCAAACTGTTTCTCCTGCCTACTCATGTGACCATGAATTGGTTCAATTGCTTTACACACAAAATCCCCAGTCGTCAAAGTGCCAGTTTTGTCAAATGCAATGCTACGACATGATGCTAGAGCATCAAGAACTTCACCGCCTTTGAGTAATATTCCCTACAAACAGAATGTGTTAACGTTCACAAGTTTTGTTATATGCATTTCCTCTACAATACAGCATATGCAGGCTTAGGAAGAGAGCTCAAGAAACAAATTCATAACTGTCATCATCACGCTTCAATTTATAAAAGAAAACTAAAAGACTGATCTAAT